CCCCTAAACCCTAAACCCTAAACCCTAAATCCCTAGATCCTAAGTCCCTATATCCCTAAACCTTAAACCCTAAGCCCTTAAACCCTAAATCCTAAACCCTAAACCCTAAACGCTAAATCCCTAAACCCTAAACCCCTAAACCCCTTACTGAACCGGAAGCCCCTGAAAAACTCCTAAACACTTTAAAACCCCTGAACCCCTAAACCCCTTTCTGAAACCCCCTAAACCCCTAAACCTGTGACCCCCGGCCCCTAACCCCAAGCCCCCAAACCCTAAACCCCTGAACCCTAAACACTAAACCCAAAAACCGCCTGAGCTGCGGCCATTCCCAGCAGCCCGCCATCCACCGGCTCGTTGGCCCTCTCCGCTTCAAGGAGCGCTGCCTGGTTCTCAAAGCGAGCGTAAAGGGTTCCTATTAAAGGGATCTACAAGGGTTTTAGGGTTGAGGGTTTTGGGTTTTGGATTTTTTTTGGGCTTTTGGGTCTCGGGTTTTGGGTTTAGGGTGTTGGGTTTTGGGTTTTTGTTAACGGGTTTTGAGGCTTGGGTTTAGGGTCTTGGGTTTAGGAAATAGGAAAATGTTCATTTAAGGTGCTTAAAGGGTTTCAACCAAGGGGGCTTTGCGGGGATGATAAAGTGTTTCGGGGTGAGGCCTTTAGGGTTTTAGGGCTTCGGGGTTTGGAGTTTTTAGGTTTGGGGTTTGGGGTTTAGGGTTTTATGCCGGGAATAGCTTCGATGGGTTTCGGGATCTATTGCAGAAGAACTGTTGTCGGTATCATGCGGAGGCATTACCATCCATGATTCAAACCTCTATAGTACTCCGGGTCACTGCTTGGAGGTTCATGGGTAGTTATAAGTGGGGCTATAAGTAGGGTAGCTATAGTTATAACCCATATTAAGGGGACATATAAAAGCTTCTTCAGCTGCTGCAAGCAGTCTGTGGAGTAGTCTGTCTCCATCTTGACGCCGGGTCGCTGGTGTTTCAGCTGCACCATGCTGGGCAACTCCTGGGCAGGCACTCCTGCGTCCTTCATCTTTTTGATGGCTCGAGCTGGACTGTGCCGCAAAGCATACTCACGAGCTTCCTGGAGCTTCCGTTGCAGAAGATCCTTCTTGCTGGTGCAGGTGCCCTTGTGCTCTACAACAAGAAAGTAGCTCTCATCGCTTGCATCCGGCGCTGGCTGGCGGAGTCGGAAGCAGTACTGGCAATCACAGTCTTCGCAAGCCTTGCATTTGCACAAGGCTGTCTTGGTCTTCTTGTCAGTGCTGTTCCGCAGCGTCGAATGTAGTATGCTTTTTCTCTTGCAGCCACTTCATTGCGCATTGCCGCAGGTTGGGCTCAGCTTCGCCAATCAGTTGCTGTGTCGCATGCTCTGCCCAACCCACTCTCACACGGCCACCCTTGTCCTTGCTCTCGGCAGCCACAAGCGTGGAGGAGTCAAGAGCTGAGTCTGCAACCGGAAGGCCGCCTGCTGCTGAGTCTGCAACCACTGCCAAACACGCCTCAGCTGAGCCTGCTGGGTTCTCTTCCTGCACCTCCGCGGACGAGGACGACTCAGCGGAGCTGGGAGGAGCGGCCTCCCTTCTTCGGTAAAGCATGGTCAGGACAAGAAATCCCTACTACAAGGAAAGGCCAGGACTGCAACTAGAGAAGGCTACGGAGTAACTACCTGTCGAGGTTGACTTGGGTGCCAAGCTAACATGTACCTGCTATGGTGTAAAGGTTGACTCCGGTTTCAAGCTAATGTTTGCCTGCTAGTCTGGAAGGTTGACTCCGATTCTCAGCCCATGATCGGCTCGTTCCTGAACCGGTTGATTTGGATGTAAAGCTGGTCCAAGCAGTCTTGAGTGGCAGCCTTGAGCCCAACTTGGAGCCGAAACACAGGTAACATGGGTTGAAACTGATTCGAAGCAGTGCGCAGCAAATGGGAGCTTGAAGCTGGATGCAAGCTGGCATTCGCAGTATGAGCTGCTCCCTGACTTCTTGGATCTGATTTAAAGCCTCTGGATTGGGAACAGGCTTGAACTCAGTTGGAAGCTCCTTACAGGAGAGGTGCTGTCATACCCTGAAACCCGGTTTGATTTCAGACTCAAGCCTGACTTGATTTTGAGTAACATCTCAATTCACGAGGGGCTGAATGGTTGGATTCTTCATGTTGGCAGAACTTGGGCACCCTCAGGCTTAGGGCTTAGGGTTGAAAAGCCTGACCTTCCTAAAGACAAACCCAGAGAGCCCAATACCCCTCAATTAAGGAATATACCTTAAATCTAAATATTAAGGCCCCTATAATTTAAGGTATATTCCTTAATTACGGGGTATTGGGCTCTCTGGGAACTATTTCTAAACTCGAACAAACCCAACAAAGCTCGCCAAAAGCCATGAGATTGCTCATTGCCTTCCTTTTCGTGCCGGTGTGTTCAAGTTTTGCGGGCCTCCGGACCCTCCCCTACTTAAAGGATCATGGGACTTAGTAAGTAGGGTTAGTTATAACGAAGGTAACTATACTTATAACCCCAATTAGGGGGACTTATAACCTCACTTACTAAGTCCCATGATCCTCAAAGTAATCCAGGAATGATCGGCTTAGCAGTGTTGGGCTCAGGCGTTTGAAGGTGCATCGTTTACCGTGCGATTCACGGAACCCTGGGAGCTTCGGACATGTTTGGGCCCCCTAAACCCTAAACCCCTAAACCCCTAAACCCCTAAACCCTAAACCCTAAACCCTAAACCCTAAACCCTAAACCCTAAACCCTAAACCCTTCCAAAAGCTAGCGATGAGCTGACGATCCTGCCTTCAATGTCTCGGTGACCTCCACGGCGCCATCAGCGCGGGTCACCTCCGAGGCAGTCGGAGAACTTTGCTGGGGAAGGGCGATGCTCTAGCGTTTAGGGTTTAGGGTTTAGGGTTTACAAAGGGACTGCTGCCTCCTAAACAGTAAACCCTAAACCCCTAGTACTCCCGTAGTTGACCAGCGGTTTAAAGTTTAGGGTTTGTAGGGTTCAGAGAACCCAAAGGCCCGCAACCCGGAACAGGCAACTCGTCACCTCTAAAGCTCTGAAGCCGCGACGACTGAGCCTAAACCCGAAACCCTTAGACCCTAAAACCCTAACCCTAAACCCTAAACCCTTAAACCCTTAAACCCTTGAACCCTTGAACCCTAAACCCTAAACCCTAAACCCCAAAACCCTTAAACCCTAAACCCTAAACCGAGCCGTGGCCCTAGAAGCATCGAAACCCCAAAGCCCGAACCTCGGAAACCATCCCACCCCGGAACCTCTACATTGGAGCCCTTCTAGAACCGCTTCGGGAAGCTGTTTTAAAGAGCCTTACCATCAACCTCATAGTTTTAAGAAGACGAAAGCATAAGGATAAGACTGATCATAACCGCCATGAAAAGGCTAACCAAGATCCCTAACCCCTGAACCCTAAAACCCTAAACCCTAAACCCTGAACCCCAAAACCCAAGCCGGACCACGCATCTTCAAGGCTCCCGTGGCCTTGCAGAGTGCAAGGACTGGCTTGCGAATGCTACTGCGATTGCCT